GGTCCCCTATTGTCGGAAACCCCATATACAGGAGCCCATTAGGAGCCTGGAGACTGCAACCCCCAGCAAGGCCAAGTAATTGCTCCAAAGCTGACAAGGCAGCCGGGAACAGATGCGCAATGAGTTTGTAAGCAGCCCATAACCGAGGGCCCAAGCAGCGGGGATTCCAGCCGAAGCTGCAGATACGACAACATTGTCAGAATTATTCAGCAGAAAATGCAATAGTATAGCATGATATTAATGATGATAATGTAATAGTAGTCATAATAATATACAAGCAACTGCTGCCTCATGAGTAGGCAATTCGCCATGTCGGGTGCAGGTGGTGGAGTTCCAGCGTGGAACATTACAGGCTAGACTCGCTAGACGGCATTGGGTGCACTTCACAAATCGTCTGTGCACAGAGCAGCCCCAATCACTTGCAGCAGCCGAGGATGTGGGAAGCAAGATCATAATCAATTTCGTCGTCGCATCAATGGCAGCCACCGCTGCTGTTCGAGCCAGCAGCAAACTGCACCAGGGAGATACAGAGCATGGTTTTGCAATGCTTTGCACTCTTGAAATAGGCTTAGGCTTCGGGCTCTTTGAGTTTTGGGCACGCTCTTCGGGGATCAGGGTTTCTTGAGACCCATGCCGATCTTGTAGACGGAGATGACCTCGCCTGGCATGTCCGAGTTGTGAGAGCGTAGACGGAGATGCAGTCTCAGTTCCCACTCTTCGGAGTCTTTCAGGAAGCTGACCTTACAGTTCTTGAGCTTCAGTTCACGAGCATATTGAATTGGTTCTCGCTTTGCCCTCAGATGCCTTCCCCTTCCCTGCTGTTGCTTTTTCTTTCCCGGTGGGTGCAAGGTATGTTCATTTGCTGGGCACCCCCGGAGGAGTTGGGTTAGCATCTTTGGAAACCGTGTGTTCTGGGGAGACAGTTGGGTTGAAACTCCTTGGAAATCTCTCCAGTCTTCTTCCGCCGTGAGTCTCCCCAGCGAGTCTGCTTGCAACTGTCCGCCACACAGCCGGTGCCACCATGCACGCATGAGTACACCGGAAAGTTTGTTTGATACAAGCACACAGATGGGAGACCGGCAAGGGCAACAAAGACCCAGAAGAAGTGTAAATTCTTCCTCGCAGCCCAGGCACACGATCATGATCCGGATTGTGGTCCAGTGGGTATCTGCCTGTTCAGTCCTTGCTACCTTTGAGCTAGACCAGATCCAGGTGACGGCTGCTCCAAAGCCTAAAGAGAATGCGCACATAATAAGGATTTCTTGGATTCCGCACCCAGGTGATGTTCCCTTGGCAGCAGGAAACCGACAGTCCGGCCATGGAGTCTGCAAGCTTCGGATGGCCACCCGAGGCGTGCGATGAATTTTGACTTTGTGGCGCAGTCCGACCGTTTAGAATGCAGGTGACAACGGCAATGCGGGATCTGTTTGCCCTGTCGACTCTGACTCCTGCGGTGGTGTCCGTCGACCTCGCCGCGCAATGCCTAGCGCAGGATCGATTTAGGGTCTCATGCTGTTCAGAGAAACTGAGATTCATCAAGTCTAAGTCGTAAGAAGAGCTACATGACCTTGCCAACTCCTTGTCAGAGGATCTGTCCGACCATCCGGCGGCTCCTCGTATAGCGCTGGGCTTGTACAACATGTGCCTTCCCCTCCTGGTGATGGTCGCTGGCCTGGGAACCTGTGCGCTGGCAGTATACGTTCTTGTGCCTTTGGCGGCCCGCTGGGGGCTTTCCTTCAATGAGGCCATGGTGTCCTAAACCCTAGACCCCAAAGCCCTAAGCTCGTCCTTGCTAAGTGGGAGGGAAAAAATGCCCTAAACCCCTCCCCGACATGACAGAACTGAAGAGCCAAAGGCCGGCAGAAGGCGCCGCAAAAGGGGCAAGCTGCTGCAGGATCTTCGCGAGGCCGTGGAGGTGGCGTTGCGCAAGAACGGCTTGTCTCTGTCTTGGGCAGACCTTGAGCATCTTGCCGGATGCTAGAGTAGGGAAGCCTCCAACACCTGAAAGACTTCTTTTGGGGGTTCCCATTCCGTTCTATTGCAAAGGTTCAGGATATAGGGGTCAAAGGTTCCGTTTGCCTCGCTCCTTTGTGTGCGAATCCTTGAGGCAGTGTGGCACTTTGGACGTCCGGTTGGCAGTGCTGAAGCGTGCTGTCGCGGAGCCTGATGCCTTCCTTCGCAAGGCAATCATATCTGAATTTCACCACCGTCCGTTTCCCCTGGATCCAAAACCCTAAGCCCCGCAACCCGGAATCCTTGGGGAGGCCATTGTGCGGTCACGGGATCTGCTGATCCGGGCCTGCGCAGAGAGGGCTCAGGTCGTGAATCGCTGCGCGACAGACGAGTTGGCCTTTTCTCAGGCCACGAAGTCCTATTAATTACCGCAGCTCCTTCCATGTTTCTCCCATCCTGCCTTTGAGTCGAAACAAACAGTCGAGAAACCGCTACAAGCCAGGAGCGTGAAAAAGCATCCTACTCAGGTGGACCTCAGCCAGTACATGCGCGAAGACTTTGCCTGCGAAGCCACTGACCTTGGCGACATGCTGGACCAGATCCTGGCCGCCCTTGAACACCAGGCCCTAGTGGACATCCAATTTGCGTCAGTGTGCAGGGTCATCAGGTGTTCAACTTTATAACTTGTTGAGCACGCCGCAAGCGCTGAAGATGGCTGCGGGCCACGTACATGTGGGGATCCTGAGACCTGTTGCCAAAGTAAAGAAGTGGTGTGGGCTGGCAAAGGAGATGGATTCCTGCAGCCAGCCTGGCTTGGCACGAGATGACCTCTCGGGAGAAGCGCGCATTCACGTGCAACCGAAGCCAGGCACGAAAAGAAAACAACAGAACAAGAAAACCCCAAAACCCCAAGTTTTCGATTCAAGCATTGGGCTAGCAGTATCATGAGTTCCAAAACCTGGACTTGCGTTTACAACCCTCGGTGGTGAACTCAGCTGTGTGTGAACAGGCAGCTTGGAGCTCCAACCCCAGTCTTCAGAGTTCGATGAAGACCCGGAGGTGGATGAGGCCGCATCAGTCTTGCACGTCCTCTTCAGACTTCAGGTTCATGTTCTGTTTGAAGATGTCAGGTAGCGCTTTTATTGCTGTTTTGATGAGTGTATGTAGGGTTCCTTACGAACATTGATGAGTGGGGTGCCCATTAGGAGATACGATAAATCACGCGATGCTATAAAATCATGCGCTTGTCTGCACCACTGACATGCCGCCCGAAGTCCGCCGCACATGGCCATTTAAATCTGTGTGGCGCAGCGTGGATGGCCATGATGCGTGACAGCACTGTATGTCAACCCTTCCTAGCTCAGAGCAGTCTGCCCCTGTTGGTCCCTCTGTGAACTATGCAAAACCACCGCCTAATGCGATGCAAAATCTTGTGCGCTGCACGATGTTCCCACCCTCAATATTGAGTGGAGACGGCCCATGCAGGCATCCGCAGTTGATTTCCTGGGGAGGGTTGCCAGCAGAATTTAATTGGCTTTTCAGCTTTTGGAGTAAGTGGGCAGGCAGTAGCTCTGACTCTCCTTCATCTCTGCGGGAGGGTCTAAGGCTAAAGTGTAAGGCGCCCGAGTATATTGGGGTGCGCGCATACACTTTGCTGAAACTGTGTGAAGCCCAATTTGATGACTTGCTTCCTGCCTGAGAGGAATATGCAACATGTGTTCCGAATATTCCTAGAGAACCAGCTTTTCCCATTCTTGGTGCCTAAATGGAAGGTTTCCGATTCTGGCACCACCTCTCAGGCTTCAAGATAGGGCTAGCTGGTCTGGAACCTTTTTCAACATTGCTTTTTCGAGTGGCACTGTTCAACCTCGCTTGTGGGCTTTGATCCTTAGCTATGCGAGAGGGAAAAAATACTCTGAAAACCCTAAATTATTGTAAGCCTTGACGCCAGGCCATGGACTCTTTGGACTTTGGCCTCTTCACTCAAGGCCCGAGCTTCCTGCAGTTGGTCTATCAGAGTGTACCTGTGTCTTGGACGCATGATGCTGGCTTTGGGGATCTTTGAGGCGTAGAGTAGACCTCACCTCGCAATTTCTCCTTCTGAGTCCAGGACATGATTGAGAAATCGGGTGTCCTCAGATTTGTCAAGGATTCATGATGTTCGGCCTGTGAAACAAACGAGCGAGAGCCATGTACTTGCAGCATGCCCTTGAGAATCTGCTGCCAGTCCGAGGTCATTTGGATCGCGATGGTTTCCTTATGGCCTGGGCTGCTTTCCAACTTTCTGGCCATGCTGTGGTGCGTGCCCATCTTGGAGGACAAATATGGGAGTTTCCGAAAATAAGAGGTACCTTATTTGGGGTCCTTATAATAAGGATCCTACTATTCGGGGTGCTATATTAGGGTCCCCTGTTTTCGGAAATCCCCAAATATCTCCAGCATGTTGAGCTAGGTTGCGAGATGTAGCAATGAATGGGATTCATCATGCAAGGCACATCTGCATGAGTGACGTTAGGGAGTGGAAGGGACACCAGCCGGCAACACTCTGGAAAGGGCTGAGACCGTGAGTTTGCTACCTTAATAAGCGCAGCGCGCGGAAGATGCAGCTATACTAATTATCGTTGTTGCAGGAAGAATAGTAGCAGAAAGCAAGAAAGCATCATAGTAGTTATATGTTCACTTGATCCACCTATCTGTTCATGCCTACGCTGCAGTTCAGGTGCCACACGTATCAATGTCGCATATCCTATACCCTGGACTCCCTAGACTCAAATCATCCCCGAGCGCTGACACTTACTCTTGAAGGATGAGCGGGTGGTGAGCCGGCTACTCCCGAACCCAGACGTGGAGTGCTGGACCGATGCCCACTTTCCTTCGGCAGCCCTTGCGGTTGCTGGCCTTGTGCTTTGGTTTCCTGGCAAGGATTCAGTCTCTGCACCTTTGAATCCCTCCTACATTTCCTACAATCCCCCGCGCATTTGAGGGGGGATGTGAGGGCCGCCAGGTGTGTTGGAATCCCATTGGTCCTGGCCACCGTGCTCTTTCGTATGAAGGACCGGCAGGCGGCTGACAACTGCAGACGCTTCGGCTACTTCATCCAGGGCCTGGAGCCAGAGTACTGGTGGCGGCTGGATGAAAGCTGCTGTTTTTGGATGATAGATAGTTACCCTGAAAACAACTGACTTGCTGCGAGCCCAGGTGGGACATTCTTGTCAAGAGGATTGATGTGGGACTGATGATGCTCGTTACCTACACGTCAGCGGTGCAGGATCCGGCAACAAAGCTGCTGCTCTTTCCTGTTCTCTCCGGTTTTCAGGCAAGCTCTTCTGCAGCTCTAGACCGCCTTGATAAAGCCCCTGCCAAGACCGCATGTTTGGGATTGGATGGCAGCTCAAAGCAGCACCCGAAACCCACATCACAGAAGCCTAACAATCCGGGAGCCCCATCACCCAAAACCTTCAGATCCGCAGGCTGTCGTGGCTGCCTGGGTGAAACCCTATGCAAACGACCAGGCAGAGGTCCTCGACTTCGTCGAGGCGCCTCTGTGGCAGCAAAGCTCCCCCTACAATTACCCGCCCCAATGTTGAATATTCCTTACACTTAAAGTATCTCTGATCTTAGGAGGGAGTTTTTATTCGGGGGGGTGGGGGGGGGGAAATAATGGGGGATTATGGATATTGACTTCCACGCTGTCAGGTGACTTTGGCATTCATCCGATTCCTCCTGTTCAGTTCAGTTGCTGCCTTGATGCTTCTGAACCCTGCGACCGAGATCACTACAAGGCGCGCAGGACCCTAAACCCTACACCCTAAACCTTTATGAGGACCTATTCAACCTCGCTTGTGGGCTTTGATCCTTAGCTATGCGAGAGGGAAAAAAGCTTTATGAGGTGTAGGACTCAACGATTCCAAAGCAGGGTGTCCTTATACATGCCCGGTCATAAAGTTTCGTCGCATCCGCTAGAAACACTAAACGGAGTACGCGGAGTACACGAAGTGAGCAATACCCTAGCCTGGCTAGCGGAGGAAGTGACATCCCGTAATGTAATTATAATAATATAATTGTTCCGGGCGGAGGACTTGTGCGGAGGACTTGTGGAGGAGTCTAGGGGGGAAGGGGTCCTGGACAGGTCTGTTGCAAGTCAACAACATAGAGTCCGAGGAACTTTCGGACCGGCGCAGTAGAGCATTATAAATCAGCATTCTGCCAGGTTGACACGAGTTTTGCAGTCGGAAAACAGTCGGCAGCGGGTTCTATCTACAGCAAATGGTCGTGACGTGACTTCTGGGAAGGCATACGGAATAGGCTCATCAAATCTTAAGAAAATTATTGAGAAGAGTTCATTCGTTCCATTTTTGTTTGGAAACCTTCAACCCTGAAGCTGCCAAAGGACTTCCTCCAGAGCTCTAACCCCAGAATCTTTGTTTCAGCCGCCGTTGTCAGCAAATCATGTGTTTAAGCCCAAAGCCCAAGTGCCACTTGCAGGTGTGCATATCTGCTGTTCTTTACCCTCATCCTGACTTGGGCGTTTTTCTGCGCCCACGTGGTTTCCCAGCTGCTGCGTAGCGTGTCGGTCCAGCGCACGGACGACAACAAAGCCGGTCCAATGAAGCTTGTAGGCCGGCTCATGCGTTTTTGTTTTGTCAAGTTCGGGTTCATAGCATGATCATATGTCATAGGTCCTGTTTTTGCTTCCCTTAACGCGGTTCACAGCTTCATGGTTGTTCAATGCTCGCTGCACAAGAAGTTGGTCCCCTGAAATGCACGCCGGCTAGGTGACATCAAGAACGTGGCGATGCGAGTGTTTCTGCCTCTGTTCCAGGAAAGATGAGGGGATGAGTTATGTGTACCCCCCACCCTGTATATAATGGTCACTGTAAGGGATAATGGTAACCAAATTAGTAGGGTCCTCTTATATTGCGATTATACCACTATTACAGGGTGGGGGGTGCACCTGAGTTGCAGGCTTCAAGCATCGGGTAAATTACAGGCTTTGGCGGCTCGAGGGCTTCACGCTACGCCTTGACCTGACAACCTTGAGTTTTAGTAGCAATAGTAAGGATCACACTAGTAATACTCGTAATAATAATAATGCGAGTAGTAATAACAGCAATAATTTAATAGTAGTACGTGTATTGATTGTATGATGGTTGCTAGAAGCAGGTGCACGGCTGACACGTGCCAATTCGGGTAGCCACAGCCACAAAAACGTAGGGTCTAGGCCCAGGCTGGCTTCGAGTTCAACCTTGGGAGCATGGCCGCTTGGGTAGTTCTCCAAATTAGGGTCCCTTCTTGGATCCGCAATAAAATTGTAGTACGGCACCCTGATAAACGGGACCCTCAAATGGACCCTAATTTAGAGAGCTACCCACTTCGTTGCCCTTGAAGGAAGAGGAGACTGAGAAGCTTCGACTCACCTGGTCTTTCACGGCAGATGAGATCACAGCCGCTTCCATGCATTTTCAGTAAGCAAAACAAAGCAAGCAATTTGGCAAATGAGAGTAGTTTGTGCTTCCAGTTCTTTCGGTTGAAGGTTTTATGAATCGGAGTTGGTGGTTTGGGCGCTGGCCGTTGTTGGTGAAGTGCTGCCATGCCCTGAATAATCTGAGACCTGCCACAGGTTGAGAGTACGCTGAGGTTGCAGCTCCACAACTCAACAGGGCCTCCTTTGCAGCGGCCACGCGGAAGCTAAGAGTCCTGGCGAGATTATCGTTCCCCGAGTGAGGTATCGCAGCTGTAGATCGTAAAGTTCACCTGTGTGGGGTGCTGCCACTGGCTGCCTTCCTTTACCGAGACCCTCAGCCCAGGGATTGACATGTGAAATCACGAGCTGCAAGCCCATAGACTTCCAGAACCTGCAGCGTTTTTTTTAAAAAGAGCCTGCAGGTTCGAAAGTGTGGGTGGCACTGCAGCGGGCGCGCGGGAAAGTGCTGCGCATGGGTCCTTCCTTCCAGCATGCCGTCCTCGTCAAGGACCCACCTTAAGCACGAAGTGAACCATCACAGTCTGCTTGACCAAGAGATACCCCAAACCCTAAAACTCCTAAAGCCCAAAACTCCAAAGCCAACCCCCAGAACCGTATACCCAACATGGAAGGCCCATGAAGAGTTCATGACTTTTTGGCTGCAGCAGCTGGGGCGAAGTGACTTTCCTAGAGCAGGCCGGGGCCGCAGGGGTGGATGTTTGAGGCTGTGAAGTGAGCTATACCAGTAGTCTACACTCCCTATACAGGTGGAGACATAGATATATGGGGGATTATACAGGGTTCCTGTCATGGGGATGTTCAGGGGGATGCTAGGACCTGCTAGGAGCTTAGACTAGCTCAGGGCTTGACTCCACTTTCATGGCTTGGCGGTATACAAGGCGCTCTTCTAGCAAACTCGGAAGTTTCATAGCAATCTTTTACAACGTCGAGCCATGTTTCCACATGTGAGATGTGTGTTGCTCATCACAGAGTGTTTCCAAGCCGTTGGGGCTGTTCGGGCCATGAAAAGGCAAAGTCCCCATGCCAGTCGGACATGAAAGATTCTTTTCCAGCACAGTGCGCATAAACGCATGTTGCAGCTGGTCGCTAGCACCTTATTCTTCCTTTCTTGCGAGTGATGTTTTGAGATCGTTGGGTTGGTTGGGAGGTCTGCAAAGGGTGGTGGGGATATTTGGGACGGTCGCTTACTTGAGATGGAGTCGTCGGGCAGGGAATGCTTGGAGATCAGGGCGGCATCTCCAATGGGCTGGACCAAGGGGTGAAAAGAGCATGGAGCCGCCAAGAAAAAACTGCAGGAAGGTGCCGGGGTCTCCCGTTGAAACCTTGTGCGGGTTCCATGCCTCCCGTAACCGGGTCCAGTGGTGTGCCCCCTTCCGTGCCCCAGTCCGCACGATCAACTACAAAGCTCAGCCCATGAATTTTGAGGTGGAGTTCTGATGTGCATCCTTGCCACGGCCCACAAAGCACTTCCGGGGCTCCTTGCCAGAAGCCGAATTGGCCCATTGTGGACGAAGCAGGCAGGGCCTCGGGTTCGCCAGATTTGGGGTCAGGCCTGAAGGCACAGTAGGCTTTAGGCAAAAGGGCCGGGTGCACTGAGCCCAGATGGGAAAAGGGCCTGGTGCACTGAAGAAGGGATGTGTTAGCAAAGCTTGGATGCATCTGCTGCCTTTGCTTCTCACGGTTGCTCATGCGTTTTGGTTCTTCCGGCGCTGGATAGACGTAAGGGCCGCCTCGACGCAAACATACGGACGCTTTGAATGAGAGCAGCTTCCATTCCGTCGAGCACTTTTGAAGTCTGCATCTGTTTGTATTTTCTATGTACAGAGAGCCGTTCAAGTTTAAAGACTGTGCAATCGTTTAAGCCTTGACCCATTGTCTAGTTTGCGCTTCGGGCTTAGCACGCCCGTCTTAGAAGTGCACAATTGAGATGGGTGCTCTGGGAGCGCATGAACTTCGAGAGCAACATCCCTAAGCCTTGAACTCCTCAGCCTCACAAGCAGGTCGATCTATTGACCGCGAGCACGGGGCCTTTCACTTGCGGCCCTGAGGACTCTTGTTTTGGGGCTTAGGTTGGAATGTGTGCCGGCATCTTTCAGTCGGACAAGAGGTTTGCAGTATGGCCTCTATGGACTTGTGATCTCCATGTCAGGCTTCAGGTCCAGGCACCGCTGCCGCGCAAAGGACAGGAAACACTGGAACTAACACTTGAGCACCTGCCTTTTGAGGGGTCTTTCGCATGAAGCGGCATACTGGGAGGGTGGAGCCATAGTCTTAGTGCCCCTGCAATTTCAATGCAAGACCTCCGGCCCAGAGGATTTGTCGCGGTCTGTGTGGCGACTGCGCCAAATGCCCGCTGATGATGCGGTGGAGCTGGTCCAGCACGTTGTGAGCCTGTGCCCGGGTGGGTTTGGAAGTGAACAAAACCAAAACCCAACACCCTTTGGATTACAGGGCTCATGAAGTGCCTTCATAGGCAATTGCTTGGGGTTTGTAGCTAGACCGTAGGAGGGTAACAGGTCTACTGGGCCTCTGGAGAAGCTTCCAAAGCTACTCCAAACAGAAGCCCCTGGGCACTAAAGTAGGACCAGAATCCAATCAGGTGCTCACATGAGCGCCGGCTGGAGACGGAGTCGGATTACCTGGAGATGTAGGCCAATACGTTCAGCGCAGATGTCGGGTGCTTTGCATGACTTGAGCCGAAGTGCTGCATGTGGGAGCAGACAGAAGATGCTTCATGCTGTTGTTCTGCAAGCCTGCCTGCGCGTGAATGTGCTCACGGGCCCATGGGCACTCTTTCGAGTTGAGCCCTTCATGGCTGCATTTGTGTACAGATCTATGTTGCCCTGTGCTCTCTTGCTCAGAACAGTGGCTGGATGTGACATGACAGTCACATGCTACCTGCGCGCTTCAATACCCACGAGCTTCTAGAAGCTGATAGAACATCAGGACAATCGATTTGGGTTGTAAGCGCATGACTTCAGTTTGTCGCTTAGATG